TGAAACTGATTTTCACCTTCTTTCTCATAACCAGGATATTATAATTTTTTTATTACCTATGTTATGTAGAATTGACATTTTGTTAGTTTGTTTTTCTAACAGAGATGTCGGTGTATTCATCTTCCTTATTCAGAAAGGCCTTAAATGGAATAAGCTGATTCTAAAAAAATAAATTAAGGAATATTTAATTAAGGTCTATCAGCATGAGACTTTAGCAGATGTGATCAATAGGAAATGAAAAGGAATAAAGCTCCAAATCAGTGCAACACTGCTTATTATTTCAGAAAACAGCAGGAGGCAGAAGAGTGAATGTGACTAGAATAATTTTTAGCTGGTGATTTCCATTACAAAGCAAACATTTTCACCAGCAAATGTAATTCAGAAACAATGACACCTGACATGGAATTACACACAAGGAGACTGGAGGTTTTGTGAAAGTGGGGAAAGGTATTATTGCCTATGTGCTCTTCATTCTAGGAAAAATTACTTTATTGGCATAGTGAATTTTTTTCCTGATAACTAAAATATATATACTGCAGGAATTTTTAAAACTACAGAGTAAGATCATGAAAAAAAATAAAAATCATATATAATCCTACCACCCAATCACAGTACTATTAACATTTGGTTTATTCTCCACCAATAAAGTAGTTTCTGTACACACCCATTGGAATTTTTTCTAAGACAGGACATCATTTTGTAACTTAGTTTTTTCATTCCTCATGTCATGCATATTTTTCCATGTTATTAAATAGTCTTCCCAACAACCTCACACACTTTGAGCTGCTTTCCATGTTTGTTAAAGTGATGTATGAAAGTATGGTAATGCCTTCTATGTTGAATATTTTCCCTTATTGGGAGGTGAACATCCCTCTCCCTGAAACTTTAGAAAAGTCAAAATTGTTTTTCCTTTGTGAATTGCCCACTTATGTCTGTTTTTCATTGTGGATCATTTCCTAAAGCGATGTTAATCAATCTCTCACTGATTTTTATAATAGCTTTTGTAAAGGGCATTCTGGCATATAAAATACAGAGCTTAGAGGTGGTCTTTTAATTTTGGTTATAGTATTCATTTTTTTTCAAAATGGTATTTTTGTGATTATAAAAAATAATAATTGCTGTAGAAGATTTAGAAATATCAGGGAAATATTGACAATAAAAGCTATACCTCTACCAACTAGAAATCCAGTTTTTTTTGTATGTGATGTATCTGTGGTTATATGCATTGATACAAACAGGAACTTGTATGTAAATGGGAACTGGAACAGTCTTGTTCAATGTTGTTCAATATTTGGTAATTTAGAAAATACCTGATATATAGTAAGACTTAGTAAATATTTGATTAAGTGGTATTTTATATGTATTTATATTTTAAAATTATATTCTACATATTCAAAATAATATGGTATTAAATCTTGCTGTTCTCACCCAATATATTGCAAGAATCTTTCCAAATCATAAAACTTAAAAAATTACTCTGGGCCCAGGCTGGTGTGGCTCACCAATGAGTGTCCGCCTGCAAACCAAAGGGTCGCAGGTTCAATTCCCAGTCAAGGCACATGCCTGGGTTGCAGGCCAGGCTCCCAGGAGGGGGTGCACAAAATGCAACCACATGTTGATGTTTCTCTCCCTTTTCCCCCTCCCTTCTCCTCTCTCTAAAAATAAATAAATAAAATCTTTTTAAAAATAAATAAATATTTTGGAAACTAAATTTTATCAATATAGATATAGAGGACATTAATTTATTTTAAAAGTTTGCTATTGTGGAATTAATTTTGTTTTTAAATATTTTTCCATATCACAAATGACAGTTGTAATAAACATATTTATAAATCTTCATGGAATTCAGATGATCTCCTTAGGATATATTTCTAGACCAAGGATTATGAGTCAAGGGCTATGAATATTTACAAGTTTTAGAACATAGTTCCATATTATTACCTCAATAATTGTATGAATATATTCTTCATTAAGCATCATAAAAAAGATTCCATTAAGGCCACAACTCTTCTATGAAAATAGTACCACTACTACTTGTCACTCCAATAGTGATACTAGTTTCATGACAAGTATTGTTCTATGACTAAGATAATTTCTGAAGTTAAATAAAGGAAGGAAATAATGTTTCCAACAAAATACCCTCACAACAACCTTCTTCTAAGTGATAAGCAAAGCTGCTCAGCAGCTGTAACTATTGACCAGGAACAATGAGAGTATCCACCTCATACATAATTGTTCCATGACTTGATAAATCAAGGCTCCTTGTTTCAAGCACAGATAAGCTATTAAATTTATCTTCACCAATGCATTGGGTTTTAAAAATCCCTACATGATCTTGCTTGTAGCATTTTCTTTCATTAAAAAAAAATACTTCCAACCAGATTAGACCAAAAGACATCTAATGAAGGCTTGAATATGTGGTCATTTTTTTAACCTCTTAGTTTTTAAAATTGATTTATTTTATAATGAGTCATCTCTGTTCTGATTATAAATGGTAATCAAACGCTTCCTTCCTTTTACTGGCATCAAAATAAATGACATCTTATTCAATTTCTCTTTAGTCACTAAGTAATTGCATTCAAAAGCATTCAGTTCTTGCTGTGCAAAGGTCAAACCTCCCTGACATCCTGTTTTAGTCTGCCTAGACTCTCCATCTTCTTCGTACATTTAACAAATGTTAAAGGAGCCGTTGCACTATTATTATTTAAACTCCCTAAAACTTTTGAATGTTGTTTTCCAATATATACAGGTGTCCCCGACGTCTCAAAAGTTTGGGTTCCACCACTCGTTTTTACCAAAGACCTACATTAGTACCTGTTTTTGCTAACTGAAATCGAAGAGGACTTTGACTTTTACCAAAAAAAAAAAAAAAAAAAAAGACGAAAAGGAAAAGAGCCGTAGTAGAGTCAGTGTCACCCCAAGCAGTGAGAATGGCCCCACCTGCTCTTTCCCTGGGAACCGCACTCCCCATCAGGCCACCGGAGCTTTGAACTGTGTCTGTGAGCATCTGTGCTTTATTTTTGGTTCACAGACAGCAAGATGTGTCCTCATGTATCAGAAAATCCTGGGTGCTCGTCAGGGCGTCACACTAAGTATAAAACTGGACGTAATTAAGAGCATTTGGTATGATTTTGTAGGGTTGTTGTTGGGGTTTTTTGTTTTGTTTTTTTTTTTAGTTTGGCAACACTCAGATTTTTCCCATATAAATCAGTGTTACGTGTTTATTTTATGCTATTTTGGCTTTCCAAAGGTCTCGTAGGACTGTTCTGGGAATGCTTCAGATAGTGGGGGTAAACTTTATAGAGTTGACCTAAATAAAGGAGCATGCTCAAAACTGTCAGAAAATAAAAGAGATGAGTTTAATGGGGGAGAGCAGAGGAATTGCAATTTGTAACACGTAAACTGTAGCAAGGTACAGGCGAATCCACTGAGGGTCTGGGGTAGGCTGTATTTATGGGCAGGGAATAGAAAGGGGGGAGAGTTTGGTTACAGTCTGTTAAGTCAAAACAAACAGAGACCAGCTTTGAAAATTCCTCGGACAAATAAAGCTCAATTTAGACCATTTTGTGAGACCAACCCAGACTGGGTCATCTCTTGTCCATGTTTCTGGAAAGGGAGGCTTATAAGATTATGCCTTATGAGCAAAACTGTCAAGGAATTTAAGAAAATTCTGATATTATCAGTTTGCTGTAAACCATACATTTACAGGAAATCAGTTACTCAGTCCTTAAGTTCTGTTTTTCTGAGGGTACATGCATGAGATTTTTGATGTTATATCTTCTGGTTCACTTCAGATCAAAATTCTTTCACAATAACATTGATGATCTCATTTTGATCTCAAACAGACTATCTCCATGTAGGCTTGTCATATGTGTTTGTAATGAAAATAAAAAAGAGTCCAGAATAATCAGACATTATCTTTCTGGGTAAATTGCTGTAGGGGCCTCACACCCGGGCAATGAATGAGTTTACTTTGTTACAATGATTATGTGTCACACATTTGCTCTTAAAAAGTCAACAAAGTTTTTTGGTTTTTTTTGTTTTCTTTGTTTTTAATCATGGTACTCTTCATAGAAATGTGACCTAGTTCAATTTTAAAATAATTACCTATTCTGGAGTTAACTTTCTGATACAGTATATAATACATATTGGTGGATAAGGAGTCAATCCTTGTGGGTCCATCTTTCAAGGTTGATTTTAGTCAGAGGCTTGCTCTCAATACTATAGCATTGTTTTTTTCCTTGCAAAGAACTAGGTGAAAAGAAGCAACAGGAAACTGCTCGTATTTAGGTAACATTCTCAATACCCGTGTTAACATTATGAATAATGTTACGAATAAGAGTAGTTTACATCCTTTTCTGAAGGCACGAAGAGGCCAACCTTCCACATTGGAGGGTGTCTCTCTGCTGTACTTAGTAGAGTGTGACTATTTGTTTATAATTTAAAATTAAGGATGCCCCAAACAACAATTACGTTCTGCCAAGTTCGTGTTTGGTGGTGGCTTTGTTTGGCAGCCCTTACTTAACTATTTCTGAGCAAGCTCCAACGCAAACACCGTTTTTCCCTAAACAATCTACCCGTGGTTTATCGACCCCCACCCTCTTCATTACATTTGATCAAGAGTTAAAACTGCTTTAAGTTCCTGGATTTCGAATAAGATGACAAAGGTAGATGTGCGGGGATGGGGGGCGGGGTGTGCGCCAGCACACACACATAATTCACTTTTCACAAAACCCAGCATTCGAATAGATCAAATAATCCCTGTTTTGAAACCAAGTGACTGAAAATGGTGTGCTTCTCACTAAAAGCAAAACCAAACAAAAAAGTTCAACAGCCGTAAACTCTAGCTTTGAGGCACTTCGCCGCATCTGAACACAACTATTGGGGTGCGGGGGGCCGGGGGGGGAGGAAGAGAGAGAGACAGAATTAACGTAGAGAGGTGGGCAGAGAGTGAAACGCAAGGCAGGGACCAGCCCAAGGGGTTCGCTCGACAGCCTTACCAGTTCCTCCCGCGGCGCACAGCACCGCATGACGATCGCGAGTCCCAGGGTGCAAGCGAAGAACCAAGCACAGATCCGAAGAGTGAAGACGGGTTATGCTTCTACGCCAGCCATTTGCTTTGGGGATATTTAAAAAAGAAAAAGAAAAAAAAGAAATCACTTCCCAGACAGCTCCCAAACTCAGCGGCCAGAGCTAGTGGCCAGCCCTGGCAGAGCCGGCGACCTCCCCTTCCCTTTCCCACCCTTCCCTCTCCGCCGGGCTCCGGAGCAGCCGGAGCAGCGGCCTATCGCCCGCCGCCCCGCCTCCCGTGACGTCGGGGGACGGAGTCTGGCAGCGGCCGGCTTCCCAGCTCCAGGTAGGTGTTGGACGGGACTGCTTGTTGCCCCAGCACAGGGGCACCTCCCCCACCCACCCCACCCCGCAGTGGCCCAGAGACTTACAGTTCCACATTTGACTTTAATAGTACAGTACAGATTGCCTGAAGTTGACAGTTTGGTACATTCTTGTTGTGCTGAAACTCTGTTTAACAATTCACCCATTCGCCAAGACTTAAAACGCTTGGCAATTATTTTTTTGGAGTTTAAACATTTAATGTTGCTGTTTTAGAACTAGAAAAGAAACTAAGAAAAATGCCTCAATCCTGATTTGGTCTCCCCCCCCCCCCCACTCCTTGACCTTTCTACCCTCCATCTTTAGGTATAATGTGGCTTTACTCACATACCGCTTAAGACTAACAGCTTAAAAAAAGTTAACTCTGAAGTGAATAACAAATACCTGTCTGGTTCTCTTAAAACTTCTGAGCAACTAAGTGATTTGAGAAATGGAAAGGGCATTTGTTGAAGTCAGAACCAATGGTGGCAATAATTCAGACCCAAACCTCCATAATCACTGTCTGCCAATGGTTTTATCCCACAAAAACAAAATAAAAAGAGGAACAAAAACCTCCATAACTGTTTTGTGCCTCTATCTTCCAGTCTCTCAAACGTGTAGCGAGAGTAAAGAAAACTCAATGATCATACGAATCTTTCACTATTAGTGAAGGGCTCACCGAGACAGACACGTGGTGCTAACTTGCCAACTCTCCCAGTCCGGGTTGGAGAGGCCAAACAAGTTCCTTCAGAGGCAGAGAAGTTGCCTCTCCCAGACAAGGAGAAACAAGTCCTGGGTGTGGCTTCCTGTATGACCAATGTGGGAAGTCTTTCTGCAGGAAAGGACAAATTCCTAAAGTTTAGTCAGTTCAGGGAATAAGCCCAGTTTAGCGCAGCAGACTGCCACTTACGTGGCCTCTGAAATTCCTGGCCCTGGTTACACTTTTAGGAGTCATGTGACTATGCCTAACATGATTGAAGAGAAAACAAACATCCTATGAAGCCAATCTTCTTGAGGAGACTTTGAATTTCAGCGGATCCTCCAGAGTTTCCCCAATCAGCACGGATGCTGTCTTCCTAGTGGAAGGTCTTCCTGGGAGGATCCAGACCAGGACAATCCAGGCAGAGGGCTGGTACTTGCAGCCAGTCTGGGTTGCTTAAATCAGTGGTTTTAACTAGCTGCACTTCAGAGTCAACTGGGAGCTTGATGCCAAGGCTCCACCCAGGCCAATTAAACTGGAATCTCAGGGGGTGGAGTTCTGGCAATCTGTAGCAGGCATTGAATCACTGATTCAGATTTAACTATTGTTTTAGAGGGATGTCTACATTGTATTTAAGTAAAACTAAAAATGCAGTAGCAGAATAATGTGAAACATTTTGTAACATTTTAATATAAATGTAGAAAATGTGTGGTAAGATACACATCAAAATTGTTTAGTCAGTGGAGAGGAGTGGAAGAGTGAGGGGTATTGCCAGCTTTCTATTTGTGTCTGTATCATTTGACTAAACAAAAGCAGTATGTATCCTGTTTGTGATTTAAATATAGCTAATCAAGGTTTAAAAATTAGTGCTTGCGAATGTCATGGCAAGTAACGACTATGAAAGTGGACTTCAATTTGTTTGCTTTGCAAATGTTCCTATAACATGTAACTCTTCTCCTAAATGTCATTTCCACTTTATAACAAAATAAAGAAATAAATCCATAAAATCTTTAATTTACCACATTAGCTACCAATGTAAGTATTAATCCACACAGTCATTGCCAAACTTTTTGTATTCAGTCTTGTAATTTCAATTTTTTTATGTACTTATCTTCTCAGGAAATTTTTTAAAAAACTAATGTTCAAAGTATATCATATAAATGTAAGGAAACTTCATCTTTTCCAAGTGAAAAATTGTTTGTAATTAGTATCTCAATACTAATAACTTAATAATTAATTGCCAGTGGGAACATATGACATAATAGTCAAGTATCTACGTTTGCTCTGGCTTTAAATCTTAGCTCTGCAAACTTTTAGATACATGATCTTTGATACCATCTCTAAGCCCCTTGGGGAAAATGAATCCAATAATATCTATCTCAGTGTTATTAAGATTATATCAAGTCACATAGCTAAAGTGCTTAGTGACTGTTTAAAGCAAATAATAGGTGCTTAATGAGTGATAGTTATCAATTTGTTGACTTCTGTTTTTTCCTCTCATTTCTGAAGCATACTCAAAGGTTATTAGCATGGTAACAGTGGACTAAAAATTTACCAGAAGACTTTTTTGTAAAACAGTAAGCATGATTATTCCTATGACCAATGATACTTCGTATTTAGTTATATGTGAAAAAATAAACATAGTCTTTCAGGCCACAGCTTTAACATGTAATTTTATTTGTTTGCCTCAAAATATTTGACATACACCAGTGTTTCCCAAACACTGATATTTCTTAAACACAAACTGCATTTCCACGATTCATAACTGTAATTTTTCTCTGTACTTATTAACAGCATGTGACTGAAGCACAGATGAGGATATTTCCCAGGAGTAGCCTTCTGACTAACTTTTAGACAGAAAAAAGAGAAGTCAGTACCTCAAGCAATAAAAGCTTATCAGTTATAGATAAACTCTAATTTTAATAACATCGTCACTGGCTTACCTCTCTCTTTTTCTTTAATATTTACTGAGAAGTAATAAAACATTTGTATGTTAGGCACTGTTCCAAGTAGTTTACAACTATTACCCCATTTAACCCTCTTAGCAGCCTTGAGTTCAGTGCTCATTCAGAGATGAGACACACATGGCACAGCTGGTCCCTAAAGGCCTAGGGACCCACATTCTGCTGTGGACTGTTCAGCATGGCTTTCAATGACTTAGGAGGATAAGTAGTAAATGGTTTTTGTTTGGGGAAGGTAAAATGATGCTATGACTGTAAGTGCTTTGTTGAGAATAGAAATTTATATATGGGGTGGGCAAAAGTAGCTTTACAGTTGTTCATATGGAAAGTGACATGCAGCTTATGATTATTATAATAGCTTTATTAACTTAAAAAATGTCACAATGCAACTGTTCACCTACTTTGACCTCACCCCGTATTTTGGAAACAACAAGAATATATCCACGTCATTACCATTTGTAAACTTGGCCTTAATTTTATGTGAGCATTTCTTAAAAAGAAGAATTACATTCCCTTCCCTTTATATCAGCTGATTCACATTTTTCCATATGAGGACGAGCTGGCTTTTAGTCTTCTAAAAACCCTGGAAATGCAATGATTGCACAGAATATCAGAAAGGAAAACTATAATGACAGCAACTTACACTGGGCCTAGTGTTCTAAGTAGGCCCATCAACACCTTCTTGATTCTGTTTGTAATGTGATGAAAAACCTTGTTGATAGGACAGCGCAGAATTCTCACGCGGATCAATGGCCCTTTAGTTCAGGAAAGATAATTCATCAGCCCCTTAACTTAGACAAAGGTAGGGCCTAGAGCTTTTGTCTGAATTTAGATGTAGTTGAGACAAAAACATAAACATTTCTCTGGATATTATATATTTTGCCTACTGGCCAGAAAAGTCAGAAGTCTGGGGATCTTTGGAAAGGTGGGAACAGGGGTGATAGCTCTACTCAGAGAGAAGATGGGACCCAGCATCTGAGGAATGGCATACAAACTGGCACCAGAGGTGGAGGAACGATGGTGACTAATTTCCTGAGCAGGTATGGCCAAGAGACTTCAGGAAGCTGATGCCTAGTATTCTTTTTTAAGCTGTTTCCTTTTCTGTGGCGCTGCATTCCTCACAAATCAGAGCTCCCCAAACAACAGGCTATGAATGTGTTGTGAAGTAACAATCTCTCAGCCGTCGGGGCTGCTGCACGGGAACCGCAGGGCACCTGGAGCTCATCATGGACAAGGAACCGTGGGCAAGGAACCAAGGGGTCTGCCTTCCAGATTCCCCAAGAGCACAGTGGCCAGCCCGAGGGCGTGCTTGGTGGGGCTGCGGAGGGGCACCGCGCCGGGCCTGACCCCAGTTCTCTCCTTCAACATAACTCGATACCTCTCTCCACTTTCAGCTGTGAGGACTGTGGCGCCTTAGCAGGTATGTTCTGCAAGTTAGAGCTTGACATGAAAAATTGAATTGAATTCAAAATCCGCTCACATTGTTACAGAACTTTTCAATACTACATTATTCATTGAAATATTAGGTTGAGCCATATGCAACTGCTAACAGTAAACCAGTTTTGACATCCAAAAATGGCAATTTTATATGGTTTAATTAATTGAAGGAAGGGCTATTAGAGTCTTTAAATATAATTTTAACTCTTGAAAATTCTGGTAAGTTTGTAAAAAAAATTTTTTCTCATCGATGGGCATTGTAAAGAATTTGAAGAAATCATTATAGTTACCCAAAATTATATGGAGCTACTTCAGACATAAAACTTCGTATTAAAATGCTCATGGAAAAAGACTAAACACAACAGTCCAGGTATTGTATAATTCCATTTCTGTGAAATGCCCAGAATAGGTAAATCCACAGAGATAGGAAGTAGAATAGTGGTTATCAGGGACTGGGCAGGGGAGGGACAATGGATACAAAGTTTCTATTTGGGATGATGAAAATACTCTGAAATTAGATAACAATAAAGGTTGCACAACTCTACTAAAACCACTTAAGAGGGGTGCTTACTTTACAGGGATAAATTTTATGGTACATGAATTATATCTCAATAAAAATGTTCATCTAAACAAGCAAAAGATAATAAAAATTGTACATGCTTTATAAAGAAATTTAATGTAAATTCAATGTTTTTAATATCTTTCTCAATACTTTGAATTTTAAAATTTATTGCAATTCTGTTACATAAAAAAGATGTAATAAAATTTTATACCAAGCCCCATTTCAATCACTTAGTTTACCTCATTAAGCTGAACAAATATTATTTTTCTATGAACGCCAACACATAAAATGTGATGAAAATCGTTGTGCTTTATTATCCTCCAACCTTCTAATAAAAGTCTGTATGGCTGTTGGTTTTCTATTAATAGCGTTGGGGAGTTAGACGGAAATTCCTGAGAGGAGGTGGCCAGAGAAAAGATGGCAAATTCAGATGCAGTGTGACCAGCTGGGACTGCAGATTTTGGGAGAGCACAGATTCAGGGCAAGAGTGACCATCCGCCCTTTCTCTAGGAACTTGTAAACAAAAGGGAGTTCTAGTTGTTTAATTTGAATTTTAAGGAATAAAGTGGCCTTAGATGGCAGGAAATATTTTAGACACTTTGGTTACAAGTCAATTCTACAACTGGACTAAAGCAAATGAATCAAGTATTTGGTTTCAACCTGTCTGCACCCAGAGCGCCCTATGTCTCTGCTTATTCAGTCACTTAGTCATTTCACAGAATTAATGGAGCACCCAATATACGACAGGCACCATTCTAGGGAGAGAGAATACAGGAGTAAACAAGACTAGCATAAACCCCTGCCCTCACTGGGTAGATATAAAATATTTAATATGTCAGATGGTACTAAGTGCTATGAGACAGCAAAGAAGAGGAACAGAAAGTGCCAGAGTTGGAGAGAAGATGACTTTCAATTTTTGGAGATCTTATCAAGAAAGTGACACTGGAGCAAAGACCACAGGGAGGGAAGAGAACAGGCCCTGTGGGTAGCTGGAGACAGAGCATCTCAGGCAGAGGGAACAGCGAGGGCAAAGGCACTGAGGCAGGGCTAGGCCTGGAACATTGGAGGGACACACAGCACCAGTGTGTCTGGGGCACTGTGACTGGAGAAGCAATATGGTGGCAGTGGGAAGTAGGAAAAGAT